GGTAGACAGGACAGTGAGTTACAGAGTGATCATTGGTTTAAATTCTGGGGCCGATTGGACAATGCACAGTGGAGTTATGAGAACTTTGTCTCCTTTGGTGAAGGATCAACCTTCAAATCAAATCAAATCTAATCAAATCCTTCACCACGCCTCTATGTTTACATGGTTTGAGGTAATGTCACAATCCTGACCATGTTCTTATCACTTCTCTGAGCTCATTTTAGCTGTATATTGTGAAGCAGCCAGCAGCAGTGCATCAAAGTTGTAAAACATGTCACTTCCTGTCACCAGCAGGTGGCGCTGTGACGATGAGTCAATATTGACACATGGAGCTGTTCAGGCCGCAACTGTGATCATTGCTTTAAATGTTGGTGCCGATTGGACAATACACAGTGGAGTTATGACAACTTCATCTCCTTTGGCGAAGGATCAACCTTCACCGCACCTCAATGTTTCACTGTTTGAAGAAATTTCACAATCCTGACCATGTTCTTATCACTTGTCTGAGCTCATTCAAGCTGCGTATTGTAAAGCAGCCAGCAGCAGTTCATCAAAGTATAAAACATGTCACTTTATGAATCTGTTTCATGGGTTTTCGAGTATGTTTAAGCCCTCAAAAAGTCAAATCACTTGCCTGAAAAATAATAACAATAATAATAATGATAAACATTACAATTTCAATAAGGCCACTGTCCGTGCTCAGGCCCTATTATCCTTATCACCTCCTCCATGTCAATGTTTTCCCCATAGATAGACTAAACTGTCCCATCATTATAATATGGTTGTTTTTCTGTTAAGAATTTTGTGATATCTAGTGTTGAAATTGCATGTTGCAGCTGAACACCCCTCACCTCACTCTTTCCTTCCAAACATGAAAAAGAACCTGTGGCAGCTTTACTTTTCATAAAAACTTAAAAGGTGTTTAGTTTGTCCAGTCTGGACTAATGTAAAAATCATGGTGGCCTCTGTAGAGAGGGTCCCCTCGATGTAAATATAAAGTATTTAAATATAAATGGTCTTTTCTGGGGTAAAGAAAACTACAATTCATACAATTTAGATGAAATGAACTAGTGAAAACATCATGAGGATTATTGTACATTAAATATATGCCAATAGTTCCCTTTCACTTAAATCTTACACACTGGATCTTTAAGTTTTACGTCACTTACTTTAACTTTGCTCTTTTATATTTATATATTATAGAAAACATCCATCAAATGCAAGTTGCTGCTATGCCTAATTAAATTCACTCAGCTTTACGGAGATTTGGTACAATGGACAAGCTGAGTCACACGCAGGAATGATCTAATTGTTTTGAACGTCAAGAAGCTCGGCCAGATCGCGAAGGCGTCTTCTCTTTTTTGTCAAACCTTAGAAATTGAAGAAACAGATATCTCTGTTTTGGATTCATCTTGAACCAGAGACATTTCAGAGAGCTGTGGGATGTGCAGCATAGGTTGGAGACCTAACACCTAAGTGCTCTCTACAGTGACTCTAGACCTAAGAACCTGGCATGTCATCTGGACATTCAACACATCATCAGGTCACTCTAGCCAATGTTTTTGGTGCTGTAACCTAGCGTGTATTGTGAACACAGACGACTGCGCATGGGTACAATACAAATTACTACTTATCTTCAATCACTTGGCAGCCCTGACACAGAGGTGCTGAGGATGTGTATCTGATGTACGTATCATCAGTCTGCTGCATTTTATATCATGTTGCTTCACATGAGCACCTGTGACTGATGCATTGTATACACTTTATTATTTGATTATTGTTACAGATACAACTGTGTTTTTGATTGGATTTACTGCTGTGGAGCTTGAGGTATAGAGCTTGTTTCAACTCCACAGTTTTTAGTCCAGTGTGTCTCAACCAGGAGGATGGGCCTTCATACAGCTCATGGACTTTCATCTTGTCTTTAAACATGTTTCTTCTAAATAGAATTTGACCTCTTTGGGCCTCAGATTGCTTTATATGAAACAATGTGAGAAGTTCAAAGGGATGGAACTGACAACTTAAATAACTGACAATAGGTGCAGGAAAACAAAGTGGAGTGTAAGGAAGATGTCAATCAAAAACAACACATCCACACAAAAAGCACATTCACTCAAGTACTCCGCTTAACCAGATATCTAAATAATTTCATCTGTACTTATGACCTTATTTACAAAGATTGTGACTGATGATTGCATATATTAACACAGGAGAAAAACAACATTGTAGAATCCTCCAAGAGAGTCACATGTGAGGGATTCCTCTGCAAGGACGGGCAGAAGTGCAATATGCCATGATTAGAAGTAACAGTTTTTATCATAAATGAAAGTGTGTCAATATTTAAGGTATTTATACATAAGTAAATGTCTGTTAGAGATGAAGGGAGCAGCAATGACAATTGAAATGGAGGAGTTATTGTCAGTAATGGCAGAATATGTGAGTAGGCATATTGTCGTTCAAGTAATCTTCCAGTCCACGATCAGCTGCCACCACAATTAAAATCCACCATCCACCATCATGATCTCTGATTCACCACCCACCGTCATAATCTGTAGTTTATGATCACAATCTACGCTCCATCATTGTGATCCACAATGTGGCCACAGCAGCGATCTCTGATCTGCAAAAGATAAAGCACAAGGGGAAGAAGTCAAGTCAGTAACATGTATCGATGAGGCATTAATGTGATAAAGAGGGAGAAAAGGAAGCAGAAGCTCCATGTGTCACATGTCCCCCAGCATTCTAGACCTATAGCAGCATAAAAGAGCTGGTCCAAGACAAACCTGATCAAGAAAACAACCAGCACACTTGTCCATAATGAAAATGTTTAGAAGTTACTTGTGGAGTATTTTTACAGTTTTTTTTTTTTACTTTAAGTCAAGCATCTGCCTATTCCCTGCAACATTATTGATCTGTTTTCTGGCCTTACCCAACTTTGTAAACTGTTTCACAAACTTACAATATATAGACAGCAACGTACACATTTACTACAAACTAGACCTTCAAACATAATGTAGGGGATTTTGGATGCAGGCTATCCCCAAATAATATATGGAATAATTCTGCTGGGTAAGTTTTGTATTTTTAAAGCTAAATCAAGAACACCTTTAAATTGAAGTTGTTTTTAATACACTATTTTCTCTTGGAGACTTTTTGGAGAATAAACAAAGTAGCACAACAGAACATGAAATCGACTACATGGGACTTATGTGCTATTCCTGTCATGTTTATTTCAGTTTCTAGATAAACTGGTATTGTATATCTAATTACTTGAATAATTGAACGGATCCTGTCAAATTTCACTTTCACTTTGTTTGCTTTTTTGTATTTCCGTATATTTATTACTTAATCGAAACATTAGTAGGATAAATCCATGACTTTCGAAAGATGTGAGAAAGTCCGTATACTCAAATAGCTGCCAGTACTCTTAAACCCATTTCCTCTTTTCCATAAAAAAACAGTGATGCAACTTCATGTTTCTCTGTCATTTAACTATTGACAGTTCCTCTCTCACCTGAAATGTTTGCTGCCTTGTCTTCTTGGGTATTGATTGCCATCTGTTGGAAAATGTGTGCAATGCTATAAGTAAGACTATATTAGTAACACACACACACACACAGATTCATATGAGAGGTCATTTTGAACTTACCTTGACCATAATTATTTGCTTAGCCCCAAACTCCTACCTTAGTGGGTAACACCAAACCCCAGCCATAACATAAACCTAATCTTAATCTAAATCTAAATCCAACCAAAGGCAGAAACTCCAACAGTTCCAATTCAGAAACATGAAAAGGAAATTATGAATAAGCAATGGATGGAGCTATACTGACATAAACAACTAAATTCACAACCAAGATGAGCCGGATCTGATGAAAGTGGCACATCACATTTGTTAAAACATCTATAAAATCCTAACATATTATTCCATTATTATTGTTAATATTGTTATACTGCAACCAAAACCCAGTTTATTACATGTATTACTACTTCATGAGTGTCATTGGTATTTCACTATACTTCACTGACTAGTCTGAGGTATAATTCATTCACAGTTATTAGACATGGAGCTAACAAGACAACAGCACAGTTGGTCTTTTATAGAATTATATGATGCTACTGATCCTATTGAATAGCCTCAGGTCCTGAGGTGGGGCTCTTCTGGTTGTTCCCAAACCCCAACACAGGACTAAAGGTGACTGGGTTTTTGCAGACAGGGGCTCTGATCAGTGAGAGGATCTGAGGCTGCAGAATCACTGGTATATTTTAACTCACCTCTTAAAACACATGAAAAATGATCAGTTTCACTGATTTGTTTCACCTTTAACATGTTTTAATTACATTCTTTGGGGATTTGATTCTGTTTCAGCACATTGTTACGCTGTAATAAGCCAAGGTGAACGTTAATGTATGATACAACTCCAGCCATACAGTCTTTATTATATTCAGGTGATTAACTAATATTATAAATCAATGGGCTCAGAATCAGAGAGACGTATTGTAAACGTATCCAACTCTCAAGGACGGTAGCCATTTAAGTCCCCCTTTACTTTTCTCTTGTAAAGAAAATGGAAGGACCTGTACTCTGAGATTGGACATTCTTTGGGACATTCAAATACACCATGAACTACCAGGGCCAGTGTGTCTCCAACTGCCCTCTACTAAACACACAAACTAAGTTTATACTGCTGTTATTTTGTATCGTTCAGGCCTAACTTCACCACACGTGTCCTGCACATCATATGTGAGGACGGTACACTAATCTGAAAACACTAGAATATAACGTCGCTCCTCATTGGTGAAAGCAAACTGTCCATCAGAAGGAGCACCCAGTCACACGTGGCTTTACATGACGGGGTGGGTATGTTCGGTGTGTACAGTGTGCTGCACAAGTGTTGATAAATTCACGGCTGGATGTTGGAACGGAGACTTCAGCACAAAGCTGCCCGGTGACTGTGCGGCCGCCCACAGGTAAGATCTGCCGAACCTCCGCCGCACGTCTGGGACGACTGCGAGCAGTCATCACGCGCACAAACACCCAGGAAGCTCCTAACAGAGGCCACTCAGCGGAGGGAGATTGGAGGCAGCTGCAGTCGCCGCTTATCGGGGCTTCCTGAGGTTTTCACTGACCTTTGTCAGTCGGACCGAGCGCGGACACGAAGTTCAGTCAGGGATGGTGTCCGCGAGCACAGGCCAGTGTGGGTCTGAGCACTTTGCAGACCGGGGGAGGGGAGGGATATAGCTGCGAGGAGAACGTTCTTCCACCTCGAGGAAAACGAAAGTGATTTCTGTGACTTTCCGTGACTGAACAAGTGTGCGTCTCTGCCAGCAGCACCGCGGCGCTGTGTTATCCCTGCGGGCCGAGGTCCCTCAGTGTGCCACCTTCTCTGACAGAAACATTCATCATCTCGAGAAGTGCTGCGTTTCTGCACCGCCGTCAAGCCTCGCTCAGCAGCACGCACCATTTCCGGTCCACGCTGTGAAGTTAAAAGCATTCACTTGAGCCGGAGCTGGGTGGTGACTGTTCCATGCAACTAACTCTTCTCCCAGTCTTTCATATTGTGGAAAGCCTAACGTGGCCTTCATTTTAATATAGTGTTACTTGGTTGGCACACGATCTGTACCTAATATTTTATTCCAGGAGATTACATTCGTAGATTTTAATTTACTCTTGTATCTCTTGTGTTTCTTTTATATGTGCTTTGTTAAAGCCCTGTGAATTGTTTTGATGTTGAAAGGTGCTATAAAATTTAACTTTACTTAAAAATTACTACACTAGGTTCACTTAGAAATAGCCTATGTTTATTTGTCCCGTATGTAATCATACAATCTATGTGTATAACACAAAAACATGTTGCACACTACTTTTAAATTGACGGCTGCTGAGATAATGTACAGCTTTCAGTCCGGATTATAACCAATAACCATCGCAGCCAAACTACACTGGATCATAGCTGAACCCTCAACTCGGAGAGATATCAACTTTCTTAAGCTGCATCCAGTGTCTGTCAGGAAAAAAAACGCTTTTATTTTGGTGACGAACCGCCGCGCTTCCGGCGTCTGCTGCCGTGCCCGGTCGGACTTGACGCGGCTGTGTCTCCGGTGCTGAACTGTTATGATGTGTCAATAAGTTAAAAGGTGGACGGCACCGATGATGAGAGGCCTCCTCCGGCACCTGAGCGGGATTCCTGAGGTACGTTCAGACACCGAGGCGACGCTCATCACTGAGAACCTGTGCTTCGATTGAAAACAAAACCCCCCCTCCAGCTCTCACTCAGTCACTCGGAGAAATATTATTATCGCTGCTGTGGACATGATGTCCGCCTGCTGCCTTCGCCTCGCATTCTCCCGTCTCTCCCCGACATTTCACGGAGAACTGTGTTTGACAGCAGCCGGTCCTCGGTGTCGCCGCTCCGCTCCCACAGCTCCTCTCTCCTGTTTGAAAACACCGTGTAAAATAAATGTTTCTCAGTGAAGCGGTGTGACCCCCTCCTCCTCCTCCTCCTGCTGCTGCTGCTGCTGCTGCTCCTGCTCTCCGCATCAAATAGTCTTTAAAACCTGCGATGTTTGTCCGGCAGCTGCTGCTCCGGCTCCTGCCTCCGCTGTGCTGTCGGCAGCTGTTCCCCGAGCTCTCAGTGTGTTCGACCATCGCAGGTTAAAACCGTGACACGTCCAGTTAGCAGGCTGCGGAGCTAGCAAGCTAACTAGCTACTTTTATTCCTAGTAACGCTGCGAGGAAATGGAGCGACTGCTCGGCAAAACACTGCTCACGGATGCGTGTGCCTGGACAGAAAATCCCCAGTTTAATTAATCAGTGTGGATGTTTTGTCCTCGGAGTGGGAGACATTGTCGGCGGAGAGTTTGACAGGAGTGAAATATCCCCCCACCACTGTACTGTACTTAGGGTTTCTCCTCCAAACCGAAGCAAGATGGACTCTCATTCGGCTTGTCTGTCTTGTCAGGGATCGCATCGGCGTTGTGCACGGAGATGAAAATGTCTGCTTAGGGGTAAGAACACGTTCGGGGGACAGACGGGGGTTTTGTTGTGTGTTGTTGACAAATGTTTTGCTGTTAATGTGCGTGAGGAACTCGCTACAGCGGCTCAAGACTTTCCTCCCGACACACACACACACACACACACACACGGTCCGGTCGGGCATCAGCAGTTTTACCTGACAACACCACTCCGCCTCTGCGTATCAGACCCGCACACTCCTGTGCCCGCTCAGTCCAGCCACTGCGATGTTGTTGGAAATGCATGCAGTGGTCGCAGGTCTCTGGCCTGCATGTTGTGGCCACAAGGGCGGATCGACTGCGCGATTTGAATGATCAGCGATCACATCCGACAAAATGTCCCACCGTGCTGTGCAGCCGGTGAGCTCCTGTGCCTTGTCACTCACTAACGCTCTGCTAAAGTTGCTCAGCACACATTTGTTCCTGCGGCCGGACTCAAGCTGTGGTAGAATAGCTGCGGATATGTGATGGTTGTAACGCATGACTGAGAGCCGTGTCTTGTGTTTTATAGGTCATCGTCATTGCATGACAAAGGCAGTGGCAGATCCATCTTCATCACTCATACAGCATTTCCATAGTTTCATCTCCAGTAAGTATCCCTGGTTTACACATGACTTCCATACATACACTGGCATCTGGATGATGTCCAGAGGAACAAACAGTCATTCAGCCGCTCATTCATTGACTGGGACATTTCATGTTTGATAGAAACCCAGAACAAATACAAACATGTTGAGAGACAGAAAAACCACAAAGCTAAATAAACACATGTCTATGTTCATTTTTATTACTGTTCAGCTGTTCTCAGGTCTGTATGAATGTAGAACATGACAGTGTACTGCAGATAAAACTGAGATAACGTGGCTGTGATAAATGCTTCATACATTCCTCTTGTGGTTTTGTTAGTGAGACACAAACAAAGAAAACATCAAGTGCAATTTGACATGACTTATTGACATGTTAACAGTGTTATGCTAAATGATATATATCACACAATATAATGAGTGCAACAGTGGAACAAGCTTCATTCAGTTACAAGGCAATTAATAGTATAAGGGGCAAAGACACACTTCCCAATACATAAAATCAATGAACGTTGGTGCCTCCTTAATATTCATGAGGTCTTCAGTTCCCTTTCTTTATTCAACAATTTTCTCTGAAATATGCCCTTATTGCAGGATTGGGGAATATTTGACCTATAAATCACTCTTCATGATTAGTGAATTGATTGCTTGCTGCAGTTCCTCAGGTTTGCTGCTAGCTGACCTCTGCTGTTGTGACTTTGTTGCTGTTATCTGTTTGCAATGAAAACTTGCCAGAGGCAGCTCTAAGAAAGCACAGAGTCCGTCAATGATCGTGTGCAGCTCCTGTAGTGACCAGTAACACATAATAGGTTCATGCTCATTGGTCAACAGCAATTACATCATTGTGTGCTGGAAGCCTCCCCCTCTCTTTGGGTCATTTGATGTTTGTTTTTTTAAATGGTTCTTGTTTAAAATGGAGGTTCTGTAATTTGCTTTAAATTAAAAAAAAAACAATGGAACAAATTATTTTTCTCACAACAGAACTAGGTAAAAACTAATTTCTGGGCTGTGTCACTCCCTGCTTGCTATTGCACTACGTTATGTGTCAGGCCCTTTATCTGAAAGCCCAAGTCGTCAGTGAAAAATGTATGATCAAAATAGTAACCCTTCAAGTTCCCACAAGCCAATAAAGAAAGAAACAAATACAAACAATTGCAATGTCCAGTGGGTGACACACAAAAGTGAAAAATCCCAATGGTGTGATATGAAAATTAAAGTGATGATTTACTTTATCCAAAACTCAATTTCACTGTTTACTGCTCTTTAATGATAATCCACCTACTTAAAATACAATATATGATTGTGAAAGTGATTATAGACACTATCATTACCCTGAATAGTTGGAACATGTGTATATCAGGTGATTATATCATAACTGATCAATTTTATGAATGAATCAATGTAAACTGACATCCTATGTGAAAAATCTGCAGTTTTAAATTGCTCTAGCTTCATGAGCCTGACTGCTGAATGTATTTCATACAGACCTACATGCAATCTAGGGCTGAAACTACCCATTCATTTTTATTAATACAAATATAACATAGCCTAATGGTTATTTTCCTCATCAATTAATCAATTGATCCATAAAATGTCAGAAAGTAGAGAAATATGCCTGTTATGTCTGTTCTAATTTATTTCAATTTATATTATAATGTTACTATTTATTCATTCAACAGCCCAAAACTCAGATATCTGGTCTACTATGAAAAATGACAAGGAAAGGAAAAGCATTAAATCACATTTAAGAAACTGGATCAAGCCAATGTTTGGTATTTTTACTTGAAAAATTACTTAAGCTATTGATAGACATCAAAATTGTTGACAGTTAATTTTATGTTGATCAGCATTTTAATTAATTGACTATTAATTGCTGCTCTTTTTCAGTCTTTTATGTACAGTAAACAGATTGAGTGACAAATATTTTAAAATGTGCAATCTAGTATGGTTTTATAAATGAGAATAAATAATAACATAATCTACAGTATGTTTGTTTTAATTGTGGGAGCACTAACTTGCAGAAAAGCAAGACTGAGTTCCCTTCATCGTGTGCATATTACAATTTTTTTTTTATTGGACATTATTATCAGAGCTTTGTAAAAGTTCTGAAACAGCACAAAAAAGCTGCTGCTCATTTTTATTAATTACATTGATTTATCAAAAAAGATATCACACCTCATCACCGTCACAGCACAGAGATTAGATTTAGATTAGATTTCCTCAGTGGTTTGTGATATTAGAGGGTGGGATTTCTTATGTGTATTGTTGTTGTTTTGGCTGCTTCACAATGAGAAAGCAGTGTGTAGTAAAACAAGGCATCGTCCTCTGTGAAAAGATTGGGATTTCTTTTCAGACCTTACAGTTCTTATTGGTATTGCACAGTATCTAATTCAGTCTCTGCATCACCATCAAGTACACCAGCTATGATCGGCCATCCTTTGCAGCTCTTTTTTCTAAGGTCCCACAACAGGAGGTCTCTGTAAAGCGAGTTGAGGCAGATCATTAGCATATTAAATAAAGGCAAATGAAATGATGGCCAGTGGGGGATAATAATTTAGCTTTTTCTCTTGCTCCCTTGCTGAATATTAAACTAAAGCAAATCAACACAGAAGCTGTAATTCAGAGGTTTAAAGAGATCTTCAACTTTCAGTCAAGCCCATTTTTTAAAATCCTTAGTTTGTTTCAGTGACACAGGGATCAGTTCCCCGTTTTGGTTTTCATAATCCCCTTTAGTCCGGCTGGAAGCCAGTAAACTGACTTAAACAAATTCAACCCATATTGCAAAATATTTTAGATGATTGTGGCAGGACTTATAAGTACATTCAGTATTCTCATTTAGAATTTGTTACAGATCTGTGTCTCAGACTGTTAATATTCATGTTTTTGAAAAGACGGCCTTTAAGAGAGTTGAGTGGATATAGAATGGGTTTCTGTAATTTATTGCTTTCACATCATAGTAGCTTTTTTTGTTCATTTTGTTTTCACATTTTGAAATGTTTTCTATATTTTAGAGGGTTCATATAGTAAAAGGGTTGCTTGGTTTTATGTTAATGTCACATTAAATGTTAAACTTTATTTCCATTTAAATTGATGTAATATACTTTATATTGTTGTTGGTATAACAGTGGCACTTAATGAAATGTGCATATATATGTAGGTAATTACTTGATTAGCTCCTGCACATTTCCATTATTTTGCCAGCAAGTGTCTCATCTTTTCTTCTTCTTCTCCAGATGCTCAATAGGGTGCATGTTTTGCAGAGACACGATCTCATGGTGGCACATCCATTGTTCTTTTTAGGTGCGGTAGTACCATGAAGGGTGGAGGAAGGGGTAAGGAGCCACCTGTTATCGGAGAGGTCACTGGCAAGCGCCCCAAACGCAAATGCCTTCAGTGGCACCCACTTCTCTCCAAAAAGGCTCTGGATTTCTCAGAGGAGGAGGAGGAAGAAGATGAAGAGGAGCTGGAGAAGGTGGGTACAATCAATGGCTTGACAGGTCCATGAACTGAATAACATCCGTCAGTTTGTCCCAAACAACTGTACAGCAGTGCGTCTAAAGATTTATGGATTTGTTATCAGCAGCCAGTGTTGTGTGGCCAGGACCAGGGGTCACAAATGGAGTGTGGAAGCACAACAGAGGATGTGGAGGAGGACTCAAATGAACAACGAGCACGGCGGCCAATGAACGCATTCCTTCTCTTCTGTAAACGCCACCGGTCTCTGGTGCGACAACAACACCCTCGCCTGGACAACCGCGGGGCCACCAAGATCCTGGCTGATTGGTGGGCTGTGCTGGAGCCCAAAGAGAAGCAGAAATACACTGACATGGCCAAGGAGGTGAAGCTGCTCTCCGACTCTTATTCCTTTTCTAACATTAATTGTAACTTTATCTCCTAGTATCTCCAAAGTAACAAGAGTCTGTTTTTTGTGAACATTATTTTTTTAAGAGCCAGTGCATCGTAGTAAAAGTAATTCAAAACTACTACTAACTGAAGTAACTGCCATGTAACAGGACTTTTCTCACTAGTGTCATTTAAGATACACTTTAAATATAAATTTGTGCTTACATCATAGCAGAAATACTACACGAGAAGAAACAGGTCAGCTGAGCAGTGCAATATTTACATTAAAATAAAAACTAAGGTAGAAAGAGCTGAATATAAAAAAGTCGAATACAATACTTAAAAAACTATAAACAACCAGGGGTGCAGTGTAACATTCGAGGATGCAAATGACAACTCAAATTGTATGGAATGGGCCAGCTGACCAATAACAGTAGACTGAGCTGTCATAGAGACAGTGAATAGAGGCGCTGCAGCAGTGAACGGACTGAGATAAATAATGTGTAATTTGAACATGACATAATATTGCACATTTTCCACAAGTGAGTTGAAAGAAAAAAAAAAGTGCAAACAGGCAGGTAAACAGATATTCTGAGGGTTGTTGGACATTAATTGACTGTGGGATTGGGCATTAATTGACTTTTGACCCTAACCCATTTTTTTTTTTTTGCTAAACTATGTTTTTTAGTCATCAGTATTGAAAAGGGAAAACAGAGAAATGCACATATTGTTTTTAAACTAAATCCATTCTGGATGTTCTTTCAGTACAAGGAGGCCTTCATGAAAGCAAACCCGGGCTACAAGTGGTGTCCCACCACAAGCAAGCCAGTTAAGAGTCCCTCCTGTCCACCAGTCAGCAATCCTCGCAAAAAGGTTTGGTCCTTCTCTTCCAACTCATCCAAGGACTCCACCACTGCCAAAAAAGTGCCCAAAACTGACAGCATGCCACAGTTAAACTTTGCCATGGCAGGTGTGTATAGTTACAGTTTGTAAGTTCAATGTAACGTTAGAAAATGTAGGATTGTTTTTGTAACTAACTCATTTCACCATCAGATCCTACTAAGATGGGAGGCCTTAGCATGCTGCTATTAGCTGGGGAACATGCCCTCACGAACAGGGAGGTATGTCACTGTAGCAAACCACCCGTGGGTGCATCCATCTAACGTACCAATATGTGTTAATTTTATCTTTAGCACAGAAAACATTTATGTCTTTAAAATGTACTTAATCCCAGTATTCTTGACCTCCTTAGATCCCTCCCAGCACCAAACCTAGTTTACCCCACACAGCCAGTGAAGAGAACTGCTTTGCAGGGGAACAGGAAGAGGTGTGTTCTGAGGCTATATTTCTCTTCCTCCTATACTCTGAATACGTTACACCTATGATTGCACCACATTCTTGATGTTGTCTTGCTAAAGTGGGTCACTAATGGGGTCTGACTAAACTCTGTGTGCCAAGTAAAAAATATCTTGAGGAACATTTGTATGTATATCAACAATAAGAAACAACATAATGTTTTCAATAAGTATATTTACTTAAGCATGACTGGTACATGTTTCCATATCATGTTTATAGATCACCTCCACCATATGTCTGAAGCCAAAATCATTTTAGCTCCACTTTCATTTGCGTTGTTCACTGTTAGTTTGCAAATTCAGACACATTTGTACACACATTTTATAATCTAATTATCTAATTATGATTATTACCATATTATAAGAATATATTATATTATATTATTAAGAGAGATCCACATATGTGGGGTGCTCTTCCAGGAGAGAATTGCGTGTAGAAGAGCACATCAACAAAATAATATTTACAACATGAACAAGAAAAGCCTGTGTCTAACATAAATGGAGAGTTGTATCAATGTTAAAGTATGTATATAAAAAAAAAAGAAGGAGTGATGATAGAGGTATTGCCAATAATAGTAGTATATGTGTGTGTATATGTCATCGAGGTGGAAATCATTATCCCCTGCCACCACAAACATAATCCATGATCCGCCATCACATCACATCATTGATGATTTGAACTGTGACTGGCTGAACCCACAAAGCACAGAAGTGTTATTCAAAGTCCACAGATTTGTTTCTTCTTGCCTTGTTTCAATTCACAGATGTTGTCTGGAACAGTACCGAAAAGAGGGCTTGATGTTACTGAAAGCAGGGTTAAGACTGCCTTTTCCCCACCAGCAGAGGTACGACCTTCAGTTCATGACAGATGTCTCATTTAACATAAATGACCTCACTACATATCTGCAGTTGACTGTGCTTGGGCAACATTTCTAGTTAATTTTGGTCATGACAATATTGTTTATATGCTTAGAGAACTTAGAGATGCAGATGTGGGAGATGCAGATAAGGGGGTCGTGCTGCACAGCATGTTGGCTAAGCTCAGCTAAGTGCCCAGTGCCCACAACAAGCATTTTCATGTACGGTCATGGTACTTCATGCTAACAATACAAGCTATCACATTAAAGCCAAAATTTCCCAGAGGTGAAGTCCCAGTGGTATATTTCTGCAGCCAAAACTCACTGAACCTGCAGTCATGAACAAAAACTGCCATGAACATAAATCATGTCTTACCTTTCCTCTCTCCTTGACATAAACTGCGATGTAATCAGTAGACTGCTGTAACTAGATAATGTCTCTGTCACCTCTGAATGATCCCTGGATAATTTTTCTGCCTTTTAAGTTTTGAAATGTTTCTCTGTCTGTGACTCTTCTTTCTCCTCGATTCTCAGGTCCTATCATGTCATGTAAACACTTTACAACCTATGCACAGTGTAAACACGTTGAGTGACGGTCATAATGGGCCTAATTCACCAATAACTAAGATCTTTCTTAAATCTGTTCTCAAGAGATTTTCTAAGAAAACTCTACGTCGGATTCATGACACGTTCTTAAACTGCAGCATTGTTCACATCTGTGTAACTATAATGATGCCATGTCTTCGTCGAAGTCACTGCCAAGTTCAAAGCTGCAAAGTGTGCATGCAAAGCTCTGCATGCACAGACCTGGGTGCGGTTGCATCTCTTTTGTCCCAGCACAGAAATAAACCAATTATGCCACCAAAATCGTTGTGGCTGTCAAATGAGCTCACTCATAGCTCAATTGGTAAACACTGAGTAATAAACAGTTCCAGTTGGCAGCCTCACAACACCTGTTATCTAGGGTCAATGATATTAGATTCACTGAAGCCAGAGAAACTAAAGAGGGAAACTAAGATTAATGTGTTACATGGCACAGGCCCTACCTGTAATCTTTTCTACAGTAAAAATGAGGATAACATTTATTTCAGAAAGTCAATATATTACTGTATGTTCACAGTCATCTCTGTCTGCGGCACCTGAAGGAAAACCATGCAAACAGTCAGCTCTCTTCCAGCTTGCTGAGGTAAGACATTTGACAGTTGCACACAGACACAGTGCATGTTAAAGCTACAATTGTGTTTTGGGACTCCAACCTTTCCACTATTCACTGTTCAAAAAAACTTCTAACTCAAACATTTTTCTAGCAGTGTTTCCTGCGGGAAAGAAGGATGGCTGTTACTATGGACTTAAGCCCGTATAATTTAGAAGAACTTTTACATATGACACTTAAACATTGTTTAAATGTTATTCAGTGCAATTTATATATATGTGTAATTAGTTTTACAGCAAACTATATATGTTACATGTAGAGATAGAGAGTTAGTATCAAAGAGTACAGTCAATTCGACCAATTGACTCTGAATGTGTGTTTGTGTTTTGGTAGATGTGCTTAGCGTCGGAAGCTGGAAAGATGGACACAGTTGTGTCTCAGCCAGAGGACAGCTCCTCTGCAGCCTCTATCCAGCAAACTAGAGTCAAACCAGAGATCAAGGAAGAGAAAGCAGACACGAATGACTGTCCTCCCTCCTCTCACACATCAGCCCTCTTACCTTCATCTTCTGTCATGTCTACCTCCACTGATGCCATTCCCCAACAACCCAGCAGCCAAAATTCATGTGTCAAAAAGAAGAGCAAGAAAAAAGAGGCAACCAACTCACATGATAACAATGAGATTCCCTGCACAGCAAAGAAGATCTTCAAAAAGTCGAACCCTGCAGAATCAGACGCGGATAGTGTTTTCAGTACGATTGAAGCCGTGGCCAAAGGGGTGTGGAAGGACGCAGAGGAGAAGCCCAAGAAGAAGATCCAGAGCGGTCCTGGCGGTGGTAACTCTGGTTTTCCCAAAAAAAAGAGCAAGCCCAAAGTCAAGACCTCTACGACAGAAAAGGAGGAGGAGATGGATACAGACAGTGCACAGTGTGCACAGTACAGTTCCTCTGAAATGGAGATACAGGAAGAGATGAATCACATTAGCCCCAAGACAGAAACAGAGGAAGCAAATATTGCAAACACAGACCTTCAGGACAGCATGACAGAACTCCATCACTCCCCCTGCAATTCTTCACCTGCTAAGCTCAAAGAGGAGGACAAGGGGATGGAGAGGCAGAGTGAAGTGACCTTTGAGTCCAACATGGAGAACCGCGGCTCAAGGAAGTCGGAACGGAGCTGTAAAGGAGCCTTGTATAAAACTCTGGTTTCTGAGGGAATGCTTACTTCACTAAGAGCCAACATTGACCGAGGTACCCATTTTTAATAATAACTATAATAAAAACTAATTCATAAATGAAGGAGGCATAATCCAGTTTGTGTATGACATCTGGCTATTTTTTTTCCTGTTTGTTTGACTTGTTTTATGTGTTTGTGTTTATGTAGGTAAAAGAGGAGCTTTCCGTGCTTCTGATCATGATGTAAACTGGTGCGATGACAGCTGGGCTGTTCCCCAGGTGGTACCTAATAATTCCAAGAAGCTGAAAAAGTCCAAGCCCAAAGATGAATCTTCACAGGGGTGAGTCTCCTCATAGAACTACAGTACTTTGAAAGATTCTGTGTAGCGCTTTGCAGAGTAATGACACAATGATATATAATGAGAGTGTATATGATAATATTTGTATTGCTGCCACGGCAGAAGAAGAGTAATGGATCAGAATCATGTTATAACTTAAAACTTATCATGTTGATTACTTTTTATTGAAACATAAAACGTTTCACGTTAAGACAGAAAACCAAACATTCATTGCCTCAATGTTTTATGTTTTAGAAATAAGTAGTCAGAGATTTATTAATTGTTATCAGGATCTGTATCTACATTATCAGCCTTCTCTCATATAGCGGATGGTGGATGACTGAGAGGGGATGGCAGAATTGTTATCAGGAGGATGATTGCTGGCTGAAAATATACGTTATAACTTGAAAAGTTTGTGATTCCGATCTGTTCTTTCCTTAGTCCAGCATTGTATGATATGATACACTTCTATGGATATTACATTTGATTAAATATATTATGCAATATCTGAAATATCTACAGTGTATACTGCACAACAATTTTACTTTATCAGAAAACCCAGGTTAAAAAGTAATCTTTCTACATCTTTGTATGCATTCAGTTATACTCACACCCTGATAAGCATCCGTTTTTTTGTGTAGTTACTTAAAGTTGCATCACTGACATTTTACTCATAGATCTGTCTCCTTTTATTGAGTTTAATCAGCTCAGGTTTTGGTATAAAAAAAAATATTTAACCTGATGGCAGTGATCAACAACAATATCTCATTGAACATATATCCAACAGAAGTCAATTTCTTACAAATATTCAGAAACCTAATTAAAAGTAAATACTACATTTATAATCATATATTATTAAATTGAATAATTTTACAAGCCAGTTGGTCAGTCAGATCCTTTAAATTTCAGAATGATGAAGTAGAGCAAAATAACAAATTACTGGTCCCATCACTGTTGTCTTGAGTGGGACCTCAGACTTCCGCTTTAAACTTTACTGATCTCTATCGGTAAATGTAAATCCTAAGTTTGCATTCACTTCTGTTTTGTTATTCAGGTTTGATTAGTCTATTTATTATATGCTTAACGATTAACTCTGATCTTCACTTGTCAGCCTAGGGAAGCTGGAGGAGGAGTTTGAAAAGAAATTTAACAGCCTACCACAGTATAGCCCCCTGACATTTGATAAGAAGGGCACTACTGTCATAAAGAAGAAGAAGAGCGACAGCTCCACTGTCCAAGAGGAAGCCTTGAAAGTCGGAAAAGGTAAGAACAGAGTCAAAGATTTCTCCTGTAAGTAAACACAATGGCTGTTCTTTAATATCTCATTTCATCCATGGCCCACTCTGCACCTCTTTATAGAATCATATTTTCCACACCTTAGGTGAACAGGACCAACTCTTTCTGTCAAGACAACATTTGGACTTCATAACACAGCATTTCCATGCTCTTTTTTTCTTTGTTTTTGCTACATCAGGGCCATCTCCATCTCAGAAAAAGACTTCATTCCACAAGATTGTTAGGAAGCACAGACAAAAAAAGGAGAAACCAGTGGACAAAGGTGAACTAGAATGTCGATGTTTGTGCATTATATAGCAGGGATGACATTTTCACAGATTCATGTGTCAGTTACCCATTACTAATGTGACCAAGACCAACACAATGTTACAGTTAAAATATCTAGTTAATTGTTTAAAAGTGTTTTAAGAGTCTAGATTAAGAGCAATTTGAAATAGAGTCTTACGGACATTATTTTGTGGAACATGGCTGAGCTACCTAAAATGCACTGAGCGTTAAACAACATCTATCTGTATTTATTTATTAGACCTACATTGTTCAATTTGTACTGTTTATACTATAAAGAAAATGTATATATATTTAGCTGCTGATGCCTATATGCTATCTATAACCTTTATTTGTGATTGAAGACCTTAGTAACTCAAGTCCCTGTTAAGAAGGTTCTAAAATTGTGCCATTGATTTTCATGATTGCATATGTGCAATGTTCAAATGAAATTTATTTGTATGACCTTTTTTCCACTGCAGTGCTACAGAGTGATTCCACCATGCCGGATTCAGCTTCAAAAGCCAAATCATGTGCCCCCGTTGCCACAATGTGCCCAGATTTGCAGGGCACCACTAGTATGGAGATGCTAGTTGGTAGCCAGAAGAGGAAAGCAAGGAAGACCAAGATCACACACTTGGTCCGCACAGCTGATGGCAGTGTGTCTCCAGTTGAGGGTGAGTGATAAACGTTTCATTGATTTATCTATAGACCAGTCAGCGTGGAATTAGATCTTTCTTTTACATTGCATTCTTTAACACCACCTAGAGACTTGGGTAAGAATTAATGGCACTGCTTTACGTCAACTATGTCCCTACCTCTCCAACAGAACTTTCTCAGTCACCCTAGGTAACTCTACTTCCTTATCAGCTCAGCTGAGATGTGGTGTCCCTCAAGGCTCTGTCCTTGGTCCCCTTTTATGCACTATGCTGCATCTTGGCCAGGTCATTCAAAGTCATGATGTATTTTATCATTTTTATGCAGATGACTCTCATTTACATATGCCATTATAACCTACAGATCTGACTCTGAGCAGTCTAACAATCTGTAAACCTGCCTATCTGATATTAAATCCTGGACGTTCCACGATTTCCTTAAATGTAATGATTACAAGTCTGAGGTCATCCTGTGTGGTCTCACTATTCCATCTTTCACAAATAATACCAAGCAGACTGTATATCTTCCTCGCCTTGATTTTTGCAATGAACTTCACTCTGGTATCAGCCAGAGCTCCCTCCACTGTCTCCAGCTGATACAAAATGTTGCTGCCCAGCTTATCACTGGGACAAAAAGGCAGGGCCACATCACCTTCCTGTTTACTACTGTGAAGTACTTGTACTTTTCTTAGGATGGTTGACACTAGTGTGTCCCCTAAAAAATAATATGATTCAATGATATATCAGTTCCATTTTATGAGTCACAGCACTATTTTTTAAGCTGCATCATGGTATACAGAGCAAGGACGGGGCAGCAGTGTTACAAGCTGTAACACACAAGTGTCCTGTTTTAAAATGACAAACCGCAAAACTAGTGATGGGCAGTGCGACTCACTGCTGTTGCGAGGCTGACATCGCTGTCCGCAGCCAGGCAGGACACACACTCCCCGATGTTAAGACTTCATTACTGAGCTCTGACCAGGAAACTAACTCTTACTTTTCTCTGACTGTGTTTAAACAAGTTTTTAGAGTAAGAGAGTTATGTATGGGAGTACAGTGTGGGGCAGCTGCTCTGCAGCTCAGCTGAACTAATACTGCGTGTGCTGGAAGGTGAATGATATATTTTCATATTTGTATATCAGGTATAATGAAGTAAAGACTTTAGTAATACAAAAGAAAGTAATAGATGACAAAAAGCAGGAACCAATGATCCAAAGGCACTTGACCAAAAATCCACTGTAAATAAAAATAAAAAAAACAAGTCAGTTGTATCGGTTACAAGTGCTGACTGAGTACTCTGACTTGGGGAAAGCCCCATTTTCTCCATTTAAAAACATTATTTTTTTTCCCTCTTTTTTTGCTACAGAGGACAAAACTAGGGACCTGAACCAGGAACAGGATATGAAGCCATTACACCAACAGAATTTATGCAATGACAAAGGGTGCTACAGTAATCCCAGAGAAGAGGAGACGGAGAGGAGCACCGTACCACAAGAGCTACCTGCTTTCTTCAGCTTGGCAGCCCTCGCTGAGGTAGCAGCCATGGAAAACGTTCACAGGTGGAGACACAGCACAAGTTAGACACAATAATGATGTGTAAATTGTAACATATGCTACAGTCAATGTGATTTCCATGAAATGTCCTTTACGTGCCTGACAATTGACTTATTATGAATGACTTATAGTTTGCAAAGGTTTTCAAACTTTTACTGCATATCTAGTCTCCAAGGAACAGACCAGTGTATTTTATGTAGACAGTTTATGTGAAGAAGAAACATACAAATCTTTTCACCCTTATAAGTCCCTGTCTGTATTCCAAAAAGCTCAGTTTATACTGGTCAGTTTAAAAAAAAAAAAAAATAGGATAAGATGGTGAATGTCCCTTGTACGTTTGATCGCAAGAAACTGTCTTCTAGGGCAGGCCCACCACAGGTTGATCAGACCTGGGTGCATGTCTCTAGCATCTTGGGGCCCAGTTAGGCTCTTTATTCCTGATTCGGAGCCCATCACAGACTGGTGAACAGGGTTGTTCTGCAGTCTGTGATGTTTCCATTATGATCTGGCGCAGGGCTTGTCCATGGATCTCCAGATTTTTGAGCAACCTGATGGTGGGTGTTGCAATAAAACCCCTGCAGCCAACCTCCACAGGGCAAACTATTGTCTTCCAGCCACGTTGCTCTGCCTCAAATGCCATGTCTGCATGACGCAGCCTTCTCCTCTCATTCACTTTATCAACAGCATCCTCCCAGGATGCTATTAATTCTATGAAGTAGACAACACGCAGGGTGTTGGACCAGAGTATCAGGTCTGGGCTTTTTTTTTGATTGGTCAACTACATGTCAGAAATCTCACGGCCCTTACTTAAATGCTTCCTGTTTAGCTATAAACACTGCTGTAGCCATGCTAATTATTGGGTCAGTTCTGCCTACTAACTCAAGCCAAACTGGCTGGTAGGCAGACATGTTACAGGTTACATAGCGACACATTAACCAGAAAACATCAGAAATGCAAACAAGGCATTTCACATTTTTCAATATAAACTAGTCAGGTGCGTGTCAGTGCAAACAGGAAGCAAAGTGTCTGCTCTGGAGTTGGTTGCTCAGTTGCAGTAAATACTACAGACAAGTAACAACAATGGTGAAAAATGGTAATAAAATGGTGAAAGCAGGCATTTCTTTTCTTGGACTGACCAGGTAGAACTGTTACTGCCAGTAAGTGTTACAGCTTTGCATTTAGTGCTGGTTGTTGAGCTGTGACTAATGAGACCCAATCAAGAAGCAATTGTGGGCGACTGTGTCATCATTTCCAAAAGTCTCTAGCCATTTTCAGACATGACTGCAGGTAGACTCCGTAGACAATTCTCAGGATTTTACCCGCAGTCTGCCTTTCATGCTAGCACAACACAGTGGGAGGTTCTCAGCACAGACACGTTCACAACAGCATCAAATCCACTGCATTATTCAGGCGAGAGGTGGAGCAGCCGGGTGCAGCAGTCAGAGGTGTAGGATAATACATATGCAAATGTCCATGCTGAAGCCCATGTTTTACAGTTGCCTTCATGAACCTTTCTGAACTTTACACTGCTCTTCAGCTCTGAGAGAAAAGACAGCAGACCCAGTAGATTAAAGCAAAGTCAGAGTGTCACTGTATATTCTAGATTTTAAAACACATTGTCCAATGTCCTGTTTCAGAGGCCAGAGAGGCTTGGCTGAGAGTCAGAAGAAAGTTGCCCAGACTCCAGTCCTCATCTCCTGTGCTGATCAGTGAAACTCTGCTGCTGTTATGAGAAGCCACAACCTGGACATTGGCAGTGGAGCTTTATTTCCTCAGTGGTAAGCCTACGCTGAAGGGAGACTTGAACAGGAAGCTTTGGAAGGACTCCTTCCTCCTTATGGTGAATTTGCTTGAGCTTGGGTTCACGGAGGGGAAAGACACCCTCTCCTCCTCCTTGCTCCTCGCTATCTCAGTGTTTCCCTGAAGCCTTCCTTTGGTTTGAGGCAGGATGCCTTTCTTCACCCCCCTTAGATGCTCTGTTAGGGCCTGTGGAAGAACCAAGCTATCTCTTAGTGCATGGGTTCCCCTATAGGGATGGTTGTCATGACTTTATTGTACACTGTTTTGTCAACTAGAGGCCATTTTTAAGGTCAAGTCTTACCATTTAAAAAACAGAAATTTAGGTAAGAAAAGACCCAATAATGCATTGGTTTTTATAGACAAACACAGCTTGCTGTCACCTTTTTACCTCACACACACGCCTACTGAAGAGCTCCCTACACCTCTGGTAGAATACCTCCCTATTTGAATAGCTCTTATCCCTTACATGTCCTCCAGCTTCAACCCAAAACGAATTTAACCAGGGTAAATAATCATGATGGATAGGCATCCTTAACAACTACTTGCTTAGTGTTTCCCTTTGGTGCACTGATGTGGTGTACCCAAACTACAGCTAATTCATGGTTGAGCATTTGATATGTATGTCAAGATGATCCTACTGTAAAACAGTATGTGGTAGCTAGAAATAATCATTTTAGACTGAATGTTTAAGAATACAACTGTGCATACCTTTGCATTTGGAGTAGTGTTCAATGTGTCCCTGTCTAGCTCATGAAACAGTAAGATTGCTTTGAAACTGCTTCTTGTTATGGGGAGATGGTGTGGAAGTGATTCAGATATAGCCTTAACCCTCCCACCTAGACCCTCTTTACCACCACAAAGCCCTCAACCAGCTTCTTGCTCAATACCATCATAGTCCCCAAGTCAGTTAAACATTTTTGAATAGTGAAAATGCAGTTTTTGTCAATACTTGATCTTATTGCAGTTTGCGTAGCAATTAGAATGGTCAGTTCCTTGTGTGCGACTTATTTCATGAGAGGTATTTGTTTGTTTGTTTGTTTTTCAATTACATAAACACTGCACTAATTTGTAGCTGAAGTTTGAGTCTCTCTTGGAAGGGTAATAAAATGCCTTGTCTCCACCAGATGGTGTTCTTACTTTAAGGCCTGTCTCAATAGTGTCTTGAGTGTCCTGGCTAAAGCCAGCCAAAAACTCCCATGTAAAAGATCAGGGGTTTGCCAATGTATATGGCTTAAATCTGTGAATGGGTTTTTTTTTCTGTTTGTCTCATAAAATGAGCAATTTAGAAAAAACACATTGCAGAAATAATATTTTCTGTTTATTATTTCTTGTGGAAATCAGACTGAGCTGTGCTATAGTCCCTTTTAGAGCTAATGGAGACAAGGCATTTGATAATAATTTGATAATAACCTCCCAATTTGTTTCCTTTTGGCCTTTTGAGATTTTATTGCCAAGTAATGGTCTACTCAGAGGTCCCATGTAATCCATGTTTTAATTTGTATTTATCTGTGCTCTTTCTGTTTTGGATTTATTGTGTTACGTTGGTCAGGATCATTCCAGTTCCATGCCGCTGTCCTGGCTGTACACTAGTTTGCTTGATAAGCAGTAGTAATACATGCTGCAGGTGTGTTGTCTTCCCAAGGGTCGGTGGAAACCTGGAAGAGCTGCCACAGGCTTGTGGAGGCTACCTGAGAGCTACAGACTCCCCAGCAATACCCCTCACCTCCTTAGCAAGCAGCTCGTAGTTCCTCTGTGTAGACCAATACTTTAGTGCTCACATTTTCGATTCAGTCACATTTATAACGTTTATAGCTTTGTCTTTTCTGTTTGATTGTTTTTATGTGCATTTATGATGCTCTTTTTACTAGGTCCTCTTAATGAACTTGGTTTTTCTTGAGGTCAAGTTTACTGGATTAAGACTGTTCAAGATCAAGCTCATAGACAACTAATGTATCTGTGCTTACCTGCTAAGCAAATGGGCACTAACATAAAATGCAGCGTCTCTTGACAATAAGCTCTTCTTTTCACCTCTGGAGGAGTGTGTTTCACTGCATCACCATTTCTTAGACACTTAATGTCAGGACCAACAAAAAAGAAAGTAATGGGTCTTAGAGAACTTGTGGATCTTGAAAAAAGTGTTTTTCCTAAATCAAGGCATTGCTACATGTTAATAGTGTTTTGCTAATGTCGGCCCTTGTGTGCAAGTTTTGTAGTAGATGCAAAAAAAAATTTATTGCTCGAGATTTATCCTTAAAATCGAATAAACTATGTGCAAATGTTTCCCAGTTCAGTTAAAGGAGACCACAGTATGCTTTATGAGAATCAAATATTAAACAGAATAGCTCATATATATATTTTGGCTGGACCGCAACAGCACGGCAGGCTGCTATAAACTTATACGCAAGAGTCTGTGACTGACTGAGTGATTGCATTATACTATTGTATACTGTTAGTGTTCCAACTTTCCCCATTGGGTTTTCTTGCTCTCCTGAAAGGAATTGGTGTGACCAGTTTCTATTGCATCGTAAGAGGTGTACTTATGGGCAGTGTTGCCAACTTAGCGTCTCTATCGTCTGCAAAAAATCTTAGCTACTTTCTGTAAAAGACAGTCTCCAGTATTGGTCAGCAAGCACAAAGTCTGGCTTTTCCTTTGTAGGCTAACCTCTATGACTGCAGTTACATATTAGCGAATTAGCTTCTAACATTCTCTGATTAATCATTTCACTCTGCCATTCTTTAGTCTTTAACTCTTATGTCTGGTGATTTTGTCGAACGTCGTCCAAGTTATAAAATCCTGATTTTAGCATAGCAGTGTCTGCTGGGTAATATGTTGTTTTAATAGGCCATGCTTCTGTCACTGTTTCATAAATGTTCCATTGTTTGACACAGAAACAGAAAAAGACAACAGCTTTATTGTGAACTAAAAAAATACTGTATATGTGAGCACAGAGGCTAGGAGAGTGGCAAAAAGGGCTGAAACCAGCTGACACTAAACAGAGTGCAAATATGACACCATGACATCATGAATATGAGATAGTATTTTACATCATATGACATTTAGTGACTTTTCAAGCAGGATTTTGCTACTTCCTACTGAAAGTAGTTGTTTACAGCGGTTCCTATGTCCTCAATGCGCGGTCCAGCCATCTACTAGGTTTTGACCTTGTTCAGATATGTGAGAAAGTTACATCAGGATGTTAACATCCAAGCAGTAAACTGTATAGTTATTCCACTGGTGGACATCAGTGTAGGTCTTTGCAAGACAAAATTGTCTTCCCCCAAAATAGAGATATATTTGCTTTTGAGTTTATTGACATTTGCCAAAGAAAGGAACACTTATATTCAAATGGAAATATTGTCAAAAAAGAAAAGAAGGAAACAAAGCTAGCGTACCAGTTGCACTGCATTTTCTAGGTGTGTAAATCTTCAGGTAACAGTGTCAGCACAATTCATCCTATGTATCTAATGGGCTTTCCTTGGTGTTTGAACCCAGAGTCGGAATGATGTGCAACAAAAGAGCACCACTCAATGCCTCTTTTAGTATACAGTATTTGCACCTTATGACCCAAACCAAAATGATCATGATCTTTGAAAAAAATATATATAAATTTTTACCCACTCTCTAGAAATTATGCATTTTAACATTACATATGCGAGAAATCAGTCAATAACAAATCCACACATCTACAAAACAGCCATAATACTGTCATTTCTCCACCCCCTCACTTTTTCTATCTAGAAAATGCTTCTATAAAGTTGAAATTCCTATATTAGTTACCTAAATGATTATAATACTCTTTGTGCTAGTACTGTCTTCTTGAATGTAATCATTTTGTACCTGTATTTTTCTAATTCAGTCTTGATTGTACTGTACGTATGCTATGATGGTATACTGTTCCTTAGGTGCATAGTTACAACCGATCTCATGACAGGATAGGTGCTGTGCTGCAGACTCAGTGGAAATGTGTGAAGATTTTAAGTCCGAAGGACTTACTGTACCATGTGAGCATTAATGAGAGATTCTGAGAGATTCTTGCTGTTTGAGTGGCGGGACAATAGCTTTCCCTGGTTTGCTACTATTTTTTTTCTTTGCAGTAAAAGTGAAAGTCTGTTCAGGACAGTTTATGAAACAGGGATGCTCCTGCAATCGGACAGAACAACTGAATGCTTGAGTTTCAACTTATTTATTACTGTTCCTTTTTATAGGTTTAGTGGAATAAAGGATCAATGGAATATACAACTGAATATGCACCCATTTATACATGAACGTGTATAAGAATATCTGCCCTTTACTGGAATGTAGATCATGGCTTTGTTTTGTTTTTTGTGATGAGATTATGCCAGATGTTCTGATTCTATTTCCTCCACGTAGTTTTTACAACATTTGCTTAATCTAATTTATCTTATTGATAAGCATCATGACAGATATGTTTTTTGATTGTTACAGCTCACTTGTTCAATGCAGCCTTACTGGAACCCCTGCTTAGTGAGGGATCCCTCAACCTCCCACCATCCTTACCCCACCCACAACTCCTATGTCATAACACTGTTTGCTGATGCAACTATTATTCCTTTTACACTTTCTGCTGACGCAATTATAACTTCTTGAACACCTATTAAAATAACGTCTATTCCACCTGTGTGAAAATATTGTGTTGTTTATTGATTGATACTGATTTTCTAAGCACATTGTTGCACTCACTGAACACCATCATCCACCTGCAGCTCAGGATTCCCTCACATGGTTATAATATAGTGAGGTGTTGTTTTGAGCCCTCGTGGTATAACAAAGGTCCAGAAACATTTATACATGCCCCTCCATGGGCTGTTTGAGCCACAGATGGAAGAAGTGGCTTTCATGAAGAAGAAAGGTTTGCACAGAGTCTCTGATCATGGCAGCACTAAGCACCATATCCATGTAGGTTGAGGTCTACCACACCAGACAGGACCCAGGGTGCAGGTTGTGCAAAGATGCTGCTGTCACATCAGAAGGAAGGTGAAGACCAAGAGGTACCAGGAGCAGAAGCGACTGGCACAGATGTGGAAGGTAAGGTCTAAAGTGGCCCCGGTGGTAAGAAGAGCATTTGGGGCCGAGACCCTCTAAGTGGGACAGTGGCTACAGCAGATTCTAGATTCAACATCTGAAGTCTCTGTCCAGAAGAATGCATAATACAGAGTGCTTTTTACAAGAACACTACAGTTCCCATCAGTCTCCTCAATAATCCATAATGACAGTGAAATTGTGGTTTTAGAAATGTTTACACATTTATTAAAAAACAAAATGTCTTATTTAAAGATTAATTTAACTGACTCCAAACTGCGGTCAAGTGCTTTCTGTTTAATTTTCCTTGAGATATGTCTACAACTAGACTGGAGTCACCTGTGGTGCATTAAATTCATTGGACCCAAATTAAGATATCCACTGTGTGTGTGTGACAAGTGTGTGTGTGCTGTATGTGAGTGAACTTACAGCACACACACTAAAAGATCTGAGGGAAGCAGTTCAGAGGAGACGGACCAACGGAAGAAGCATTATAATAGAAATGTCAAGTGACCATTTCCTACATGATTCCTTATAGGCCTGTTATCTCAAATGTATTCTTTGAAGTTAAAATAGACTTATCACTATCTTGAAACATTTAAATCAATGATGAATAGTATATTAGTTATAAAGATAATTTTATCTTTTACATGATGTTAAAGTAAGTGCCTTTCTGTTGGGTTCTAACCTCAAAATATAATTCAAAGAGTGCTGGAAGACGTTTGATCAAATAAAAGCCACAGTGAAGTATGGGATGATGAGCCCTGAAAATACGTTCAAGAAGAGATATTTTGTATTCTGTAAATGTTTTATTTGCAAAACTAAAGCTGACTTGAGTCTAATTCCTGTGATTTACCAGGAATCATTGAGTCAAGTCAGTGTCAGCATCGCATCAATGAAAGTTCTTCTGGTTCCCTGGTGTGCTCACATGTCTGAAATGTACATATATACAGTATAAGGTTCTTCCAAAGATATTCTTAATTGTGTGGGGGTGTTTCCCATTTATCAGGTTGGAGCACCAGCCCCTTAAAGTGTCTGTGCATGTCCCTGCAATGAAGACAAGCAACAGTATCTTCAGGACAAGTCTCTTGACAGTTCCTGAGTAACCCGGAAAAAGACATCAACCCACAGAGGATGTGAAGAGCTGGAGATGTTGCTTATATTGTCCGTGGTCCCATCCAGGCTAATGGCACATGAGCTAATCTGTCAGGAAGAAGGAGACAAAGTGAACAAATCCAAGAGTGTGAAGCTCATACAGACTGGAAGTGCTTCCTTAAAGACTCAGTGTGTAGAATTTTGTGATAGCTATAGTGTTGAAGTTGCATGTTGCAGCTGAATACCCCTCAGCTCACCCTCCCCTCCGAATCATGATAGATAACTAGTGGGAGCTTCATTTTTCATAAAAACTCGAAAGGTGTTTAGTTTGTCCAGTGTGGACTAATATAAAAAACATGGCGGCCTCCATAGAGAGGACCCCCTCGAAGTACATATAAAGTATTTAAATATAAAGTCTTTAAATATAAATGGTCTTTTCTGGGGTAAAGAAAACTACAATTCATACAATTTAGATAAAACGAGCAAACAATCTGCCAATAGTTTCCTTTCACCCAAATCTTATACACTGGATCTTTAAGGGACCTCAACAAATTACTAAATTAAAGATTTTTGGAAATGAGACATTTCATTCACGGATATTTAACAAATGAATATATTTTCATGTTTCACGTTTCACGTTTCACATGTTTCACATGTATTGTTGAATGTAGCTCGATGGGCACAAATATCAACTTTATCCACTGAATATAAACTTTCCATGCAACTGAAGTGGAGTGGGTCCTCTGATCACATGTGATCTGGTGGGACGTTTGCAGACAGGATAATTTAAAAACAGTACCGTCGTCTTTTCTAATGTCAATGGTCACGTGCTGACAGATCGAGGTTCCACAACAAATGCCGGTTTGCTCACGTGACTCTTGTGTCACATGACGACGCCCCGTTCCACTCGGCTAACGCTAACAAAATGGCAGCCTTCTTACAGTGGAGGAAATTTGTCTTCTTCGATAAAGACACGGTGAAGGATCCGGTGGATAATGGGAAAAACTTCGTTCTTCCGAGCGGAGTCTCGGCCTGTGACTCGGGCCGTGGTCACATCGTCCTGGGAGATATCCTTTACTAGCAGCGAGCAGCTCATGTTATGCTAGCTACTGACAGCTGATGCTAGCTAACATGAAAGTAAACTTGTTACTTGGTATCTATGTTAGAGATCGAAGACAATCAATAGCACATGGAAGCAGCGAGCTGAGGACTCGTTTCCGTTCTCTGCTTTGGAAACTGCGTCACACGCAACTCTGTTTAAAAAGCTATAGAGTCTGGATTTATTGAGAGGCCTCGAACTACTCTCTGATGAGACGACCTCATTAATAACCCCACGGTGACATTACTTCAGCAGAGCATCACTGTGAAAGAAAGATTTGAGTGGCTCTTGACGAACGGAAGCTGAATTTCCAAACGTTTACATGGAGTTTGGTTTTAACACAAACCACCAGGTACCTGAGGTAGAGCAGTGGCAGATGTGTATCATTGTATATGTATGACAGAGCCTACTCTTGCATGTTCTCCTGCTGCACAATCCAGATGTGCAGTTACAGCTGTTGTATTAGTAGAGCACAGAAACTACTGCCTTACAAATATCAACTTTATAAGATTCGTTTGTAGGATTAGTGGTCAGTGTTTTCATTGACAAACAAGCCCCCCATAGCCTAAACTGACAACATTTGCCATGCGTGCTCTGCCTACTGCATCTTGTGTAACAGCTATGTAAAACTGTCTTTAACATTCATGATGTCACATATGGATGGAAAGATCTGGCTCATGACGCGCTCCCTGCAGCTGACGTTTTTTCAGGCCTACAAGCTGCGAGTAACACACCTTTACCAGCTGAAGCAGCACAGCATCCTCGTGTCAGTGGGGCAGGATGAACAAGGAATAAACCCTCTAGTAAGTATGTTCTTAGTCAGTCTTTCTCAAGAGAAGCCTAAAGCACAGGAAAGTTGTACCAGTGATTTCATGGAAACTGAGGCAGTTCTCATTTCACAGGTAAAGGTCTGGAACCTAGACAAGAGAGACAGTGGAAATCCTCTCTGCACAAGGATTTTTCCTGCGATTCCTGGCAACAAACCCACTGAAGTGTCTTGCCTCAGTGTGCACGAGAACCTCAACTTCATGGCCATCGGTAAGACCCAATGAAAGGGTCTGCTTGCTGCCCATTCGCCCAGCACTCATTGTTTGGCTAACAGAGAGTTTTTCTCTTCCCACATTATAATGGCTGTTGTGTTTCTTGACAGGCTTCACAGATGGCAGTGTGGTTTTGACCAAAGGTGACATCACCAGGGATCGCCACAGTAAAACTCTAACACTGCACGAGGGGAGCAGCCCAGTCACTGGCCTCGCCTTCCGCCAAGTGGCAAAGGTCACACATCTGTTTGTTGCCACTCTGGAGAAGGTTCATGTAAGTCTGGTCGCTCCGTGAACATGGGGCTGCATGGTGGAGCTAAACGCTTTAGAGCCTTGCTTTCATGTAAAGCTGTTTTCAGACATTACCCGTGAATAAAATCCTGAGAATTTGAGTTTACCTCCAGTTTGCCTTTCACACAATTACAACACAGCAGAAGGTTCTCTGCACAGACGGGTTCACGACAAAAAAAATCCTCTGCTATTAATGCGAGAGGTGGAGCAGCCGGGTGCAGCAGGCAGAGGCAGGAAGCGACGTATTAACTTTTTTTGCATAGGTCTCATGATTTTCTTTACAGCACACAGACACCATCATCAGCACTTATTTCCACAAACTCTTTGCAGGGTGACGCAGCTCCTTAAAAAATCCTAAATTACAATCAGTGAAATGAAGGTCTTTTATCTTAAATGTACCATTAATTTGCTGCAAAGTGTAACATTTGCAGGCACTGCATTGAAGGCTGCTTCGGAAATTGTCACGCACCAATGGGGGTTGATTCTTCTACGCTGAATGTGTATTCATTCATGTGGGCAGAGCACGACACAGCGCCACACAGTTCCCAGTCTTTCATATCAGTGGTCAGCTATGGAACTGCAATGAGCCCTGTAATGCCTGAAAGTAATGTCTCTTCGTGTCAGTTGTAGTGTGTGAACCACTGTGGAGTTTCTTAACACAGTCAAACCACTGAAAATTCAAGAAAGAAGCAGTTAGACACAGGGATGTACCATTTATATTCCTTTAGGCTACACTGCACCTAGGCTAAACACCTTTGTGTGCTCGAGAGGTTTATGTAAAGGGTGAGCACTTGAATTTTGCACAACATAAAAACAAGTTTTATCTTCAATCCAATTAAGCTTTATTGACAGACATGATAACATTCTACAACAAACAAACTAATAAACAAACAGACTAATAAACATACAATAATGGTAATAACATAAATAGTTGTTATTAAACAGGATATTTACTACAAAAAGAACATACGTGTGTGTGCATGTGTATATATATTTATAATCTATATTATTTTTAAAATATTTCTTCAAATGCCCTTATATTCTGAGCACTCTGTCAGGAAGTGT